CCAGGCGCGGCTCCCACTCCGCTCCTCGCCGCCTCCTCCTCGATCTGCCCGTTTGCAAGCACGGGGTCTGCATCACCCCATCCACAGAACCTGTCTTCCCTGAGCCACGGACGTCTCTCTGGGGGGACTTTACAGACAGAGACAGGCATGGGCTGAGGGGCTCTGGGCTGAGCCGCAGGTTGGGGGCCCAGCAGTCACTTCCTAGCCATGTGACCTTGGGCACGGAATCCCTCAATCGTGACCTGCCTGTTTGGTGTCACCACCCCCTTTTGCAGCCTGCTCCAGTATAAGCCTGTTTTTCCCTGCCCTGACCCCCACCCCCACCCCAGGGACAGGAGTGGGGGCAGTACCATCCGGCCCCACTCACCTGGATCCCGTTCACACCAGCCTGGATCTTCTGCAGCTCCACGCTGATCTCGCAGTCCCCGATGTAGCTGAAAGGGGAGGGAGAAGGAAGGTCGGGAAGAGGGGCAGGCCCACTCTCAGAGACGTGGGAAACTTGCCCAGTGCCACCCAGCCCGAGCCCCGCCTCACCCAGATAGGGTCACCCTCACCGCCCCGGCTTTTCTCGGCTCTGCACAGACACTGACCCAGGCCCCTGCACCCAGGAGTCCCATGTACATCCCCACCTGTGCCCGCGATGACCATGACTGAGTATCACCTTGTCCCACGACCCCATGGATGTGAAGGAGGGGCTTTTGGGGAACACAGGGCCCAGCCCTCTGCCTCAGCTATGCTCCGCCCCCCTTCCCAGGTCTCTTCCCCATAGACAGAGCAGCCACACTGCCTACATCCAGCCATCACCCAGGCGGTTGCCGGGGGTGGTAGAGGGAAAACACAATGTCCTCAGGAGCCGAGTCCTGCTGGTGGCTCCTGCCAAGTGATGGGCACAGGGAGCTCAGAATGAGTGCCTCAGAGGCTAAGGGTCCGGAGACACTGTGAAAGGACTCGTGACTAAGGGGAGCGAGGCGGTGGCCATCAAATATCTGCAGGGCACAGGCAGGGGAGCTAGTATCCCCTGGAAGGTCGGGGTAAGGCCTGGGGACTCCGGGAGCTGCCCAGGAAGCTGGGTGGGGAAGCCCGATGACCCTGACAGGCCCTAACTGTGCACACCAGGCTCTGTAGCAGTGCCTGGGGCCAGACCCCAAAGCTGTCACCATCCCAACACACTTGAGAACAGCCCCCCACTGGGGAAGGGCATTCCCAGAGCTGACCCTGTCTTCCCAATGTGCCCTCAGTGCAGCCTCTGGGATAAGGACACTGAAAAGGAACGGCAACATTCTGGAACCTCAGGAGTTGATCCTGGTTCCTTTAAAACACAATTCCAATCTCACCACCTCCAGGAAGACTTCCTGGGTTCAATCTCCCTTCTTACCAACTCAAGCCCGTTACAAACCTCATTCAAACATGGTGCCCTTGCCCCACCCACTCAGCTAGTCGCTCGTGTGTCTGCATCCTTTCGATTTCCGAGGAGCCGGCCCAGCTCTCCTGCTGGCGTCTCACAGCCTATGCAGAGTTCCCTGGGACTCATCCCAAGTCCCAGCATCTTGTCACCCGTGCTCCCTCTTGCTACATCCTCTCTGAGGCAGCTGCTCTGACGCTCGAGGTCAGACCTGGCCCTCGCCTCTAGGAAAGCTCAGCTCCTGGGCCTTGGTACCCAGAACATGCCTAGTGCCTGGTCTGATGGAGAAGCCGGGCCTGGGCTGAGGGGTCAGATGGTGGTGGCTCCCCAGGATCATCCCTTCTCCTGAAACTCTTCCCCATCCCAGGCCCCAGCCCAGGCCCCAGCCCAGGCTCCAGCCCAGGGCAGTTGGGGGTATATCTGCTCTGAGGGGCAAATGCGAGTGTCTATATGCTACCCCATCTTCACACTGCTGTTCCCACAGAATGTGCCCCGGACCCACCCCTGCCCCCAGGCAAGAGGCTCACCAGATCTGCAGGTCCAGGACCACCTGCCTCCGGTTGTGCTTGCTGGTGTGCGCCTGGACCCCGTTGACCCTGGGGCACTGGAAGAGAGGCCGGCGTGGGGTCAGCAGAGGTCTTGCAGCAGCGAGGCTCCCCTCCCGGTACTGGGTTTTGCCCAAAATAATCAACATGCCCACTGCTCTCCTGAGGCATAAACACAGAAACCCACCCATGGTCCCATCTGCCGTGGTCACCCTGATACTTCCCTCCCTAGAATGTGCACCCTTATTTCTCTCTCTCCTCCACAGATATTTACTGAGCACCTGCGCTGCACCAGGCGCTGGCCTGGGAGCAGGTGAAAAGCAAGGTGGCCAGGCCTGTCCTCACAGCCCAGCAGAGGAGACGGTGGTGGTGGTGGTGGTGATGTGGGGAGGGAGGTGAGGTGCAGCCTGTGCTGTCACGTGGCCATCTGGGGACTTCAGGAGCACCTCCCAACCCAGCTTGGGGTGGGCAGAGGTTAGAGAAGGCTTCCTGGAGGTGGCATTTAAGCAGTTTGGGCAGATGAGTAGGAATTAGCCCCTAAGGGCAAAGGAAGATGCAGGGTCCACGGCTAAGTGATCTGACCCTCATCGGAATGTAAGAGCCCCACGTCAGGACCACAGTCCCCAGGCTCTGGGCCAAGGGCTGAGCTCCTAGATCACCTTTCTTCCCCCTCTGCCCACTCTCCTCCTCCTGTCAGTGGCACTGGAGGAGGGCCTGGTTATTATTTAGCAAGAATCAAAAATAGGAGAACCAAGATGGCAGCACAGGTAAACACCTGTACTTGCTGCCTCTCACAATCACATCAAAATTACAACTAAAAGACGGAACAACTATCATCCAGAACCACGGGAAGGCTGGCTGAGTGGAAGTACTACAACTAGAGAGGTAAAGAAGAAAGCGCATTGAGACTGGTAGGAGGTGCAGAGGTGTGGAATGGGCAGGCACCCGGGTGCATTGCTTTTTTAATCAGGAGAGAGATAGAAGCTCCCGCTTGCTCTGAACTCTTGTTCTGGGTGAGACTCTGGGGGACCCAGACACATATGGGGAGAAACTGGACTGTCTTGCATCAGGGCAGGAATGCGAGGGCGGCTTTCTTACAGATGGAGGTGCTCACAGCAGTCATTGTTCCTGCGCTGGGACCTCTCCGGTGCAGGGCTGACTGGCAGCCATTTGCTCCGCCCTGGTGATTCCCTGAGACCCTGCCCCACCCAATTTACAACCCCACCCAAGCTGTGCACAGTGGCTTTTGCATATGAATGGCCTGTCCTTTATCAGCCTAAAACCTGTCCAACAGGCAGCAGCAGGATCAGGGAGCCCCAAAGCTATTAAAAGAAGGCCCAAGGCCGGCAGCATCAGCCTGCCTTGCTTCACAGCTGGGCCTTGTCTGGGCACTTCCAAACCCAATACAAAGAGGAGGAATCTGCAGATCTCTCTGTAGCTCCTACTGGGAGGCCCCAGGCAGTGGCTGACTTTGCACCTCCCTGGGGACCCAAGAGCCAGTGTACCCAGTGGTCAGTGTGAGACGAGACCAGATTACAACTCTACACATCCATAAGCAACACACTCAAGGGACAGACTCAGTG